TTGATACATATTGATTTAAAAAAATATTCCTGATTCATAAACTGAGAAGAAATTCCTCATCTCTTTCTTTTAAATATGCAACGCTTTATTCCGAGAGGATACCCTCTGTTCGTAGACTCTCTCACAAGGGGAAATAACCTTTCTGCATCTACATCCATGGAGACAGAAAAAGAAATAACTGAGAAGAGTCGTCATACTGGATTCCAAACGTTAGCAGTTTCTCTCCCCACAGCTGCTGCCAGACCTGCTGAGTTTTCTCCAAGATTCCCTGTGTTAGTTTCATACTTACAGCATCTGCAATCTTCTGCTTTTATTTAAATGTTCTGGGTGCATGAGTTGCAGTACCATCGAAGCAATTGGCGAAATTTGAATTCAATAACCATCTAGAATTAAAAGTTAGCTTCATAGTGACCATGTAGCCACTGAAATTGTCACAAATGCCCATTTGATTCACTAACGTCCTTTAGGGAAGGAAATCTGCCATCCTTACATGGTCTGGCCGACATGTGACTCCAGACCCAGAGCAACGTGGTTAGCTTTCAAACTGATTTCTGAAATGAACGTGCAAGACATTCAGATCAAGGGTAAATAGGGATGCCCAGCCTTGTTCTCATGAACGAAAAGAAAATAATTATGTTTTGCTCATTGCTTGTGATCAGCCAGCACTGGAATGCAATGGTCCCATTGCAACTGCAATCTTTGTTTTGACCGGTGACACAGTGGTTAGCACTGCTGCCTCACAGCACCGGGGATCCAGGTTTGATTCCACCCTCGGGCAACTGTCTATGTGGAGTTTGCATATTCTGCCTGTGTTTCCTCCAGGTGCTCCCATTTCCTCCCACAGTAAAAAGATGTGCAGGTTAGGGTGGATTGGCCATGCTAAATTGCCTGCAGTGCTCAGGGATATGTAGGGTAGGTGGATTAGCTATAGGAAATGCAGGGATAGAGTAGGGGGTGTGTCTGAGTGGGATGCTGTTTGGAGAATCGGCGCGGACCTGGTGGGGCAAATACCCTGTTTCCACAGCATAGGGATTCTATTCTAATGCTTTCTACCTGAACTAACTGCAAAACAAAGCGAGGTTAAACCAGTTTCTCCAGTGAATCTCACTCCATCCCCAGGAAGGGTCACTCACCCCGAAACGTTAACTTTGATTTCTCTCCACAGATGCTGCCAGATCTGCTGAGCTTTATCAGCAACTTCTGTTTTTGCGTTTGATTTCCAGACTCCGCAGTTCTTTCAGTTTTTAATCTCACTCCAGTATCAGACTGGGCTTGGACTCCGGAAGCAGGTTTCAATGCAAAGGCAGAACAGTTCTGGTGATACTGTGATTGTACCTTTGTAATCACATTATTCTTAAAAAGATTGTCACTAGGACGAGGAAAACAGGGCGAGTGGGTTTGAAAAGAGAACCAGAAAGTTGGACTATTCAGTTACATCTACCCAAATCAAAAACTAGCAGAGCCACAATCACTTGAATGGCCTCTTTCTAGTCAGTACTGAATGAATGACTTATATTTACAAATTGCTTTCAAGCTCCCACAGACAGTGATGTGGTAATGAAAGAGTGTTTTTGTTTGTGATGTTGTTTTGAGGGCTAAATATTGACCAGCATACCAGGAGAGTTCCCCTGCTCTTCTTCAAAATAGTGGCAATGGGGTTTCTGTACATCCAGAGGAGGAGACAGACTGTGCCACGGTGAAAATGAATTCCTCAGCCAAGGCCTACCCACCCTCTGAATACAGAGACTCCCGGCCAGCCGAAACTCTGTCAGAATGTTCCTCTCCAACCTCTGAGCCGGCCCACTGGATCAACAAGGGACACTTTTTAAATCATTCATTCATGGGGAGTGTTCCATGCAAATTGCAGAAGGTGCAACACTTGCCCATTTACGTCCTCATTGTCCAAAGCCACCTAAAAAAAAAACTTTCCAGGTGAAGCAGTGTTTTACTTCTACATCCTTCAATCTGATCCACTGAATCTGCTGCTCACAATGCGGTCTCCTTTACACTGGTGAGACCAAACACAGACTGGGTGATTGGAGGCGTTCCACCAAACGATCTGTCCACAGGGATAGTAGGAACTGCAGATGCTGGAGAATCCGAGACAACAAGGTGCAGGGCTGGATGAACACAGCAGGCCAAGCAGCAATGATGCTGCTTGGCCTGCTGTGTTCATCCGATCTGTCCACAGGGCTGACCCTGACCTCTCACTTGCTTGCTACTTCAATAAAGCACCGCACTGGCATGGTAACATTTCTGTCCTGTACCTACTGCAACATTCCAACGAAGCGCAACACAAGCTCAAGGACATCACTTAAGCACCTTACAGCTTCTAGTACTAAATTCTACAACTTCAAAGCCTGACCAAATAACATCTGTTGTCCATTTTCTTACATTCTTCTTTCTCTCTCTGTCTTTCCCTCCCGACCCACTCCCGGACAGGTTCATCTTGTTTACTTCACTTTCAGCTGCGAGAAACCATTCCAGTGCATTTACATCCACTTTATATCTCTATCTCTCTTCCACTAACTAGCAACCCCATTGTTTTTTACATTGGTAGTCCGCATTGTCTTTTCCCCCTCGCCCATTCAGTCAAAAGTATAAAATACACCATTTTCTGACACCTTTCAGTTCTGAAGAGGACTCACTGGACTCGAAACATTCATTCTCTCTCCACAGTTGCTGCCAGACCTGCTGAGCTTCCCAAAGAATTTGCTGTTTTTATTTCAGGTTTCCTGAATCTGCAGTATTTTGCCTTTATTATGGGTATCCCAGCTGAGCTAGTGTCTATTGTTTATCCAGAACTTCTACAGGGTGGCCCTGCCTCAGTATTGCATTGGAATATTTTTGTTCAAGTCCTCTACGTATGTTTAACATTCACTATTAATACATTTCTGAGATCAGTTATCTGGATAGTCTCATGTGTAATCCTTGCAACTATTCATGTGGAATGATCACATCTCTCTCACATGCGAAGGATGACATCGACAAACTGTGATCACAAGTTGCTGCTATACAAATACCAGACTCCACTCCTCTTGTGATGAAACAAAAGCAGCAACTGCTGGGAAAACTCAGCAGATTTGACTATCAGTTGTGAAGATGGGTCGCTGGACCCAAAACGCTAACTCTGCCTTCTCTCTCCACAAATGCTGCCAGGCAGACCTGCTGAGTTTTCCCAGCGATTTCCGTTTTTGTTTCTGATTTCCAGCATCCGCAGTTCTTCGGTTTTTTTCCTTGCTTCTCTTGATGAAGTTTTGTTTCAACTTTAGCAACACGCAAGTTACTGGCCACCTTCAAAGTCCACTCCCTTCACCATGGGCACACAGTAGCAGCAATACGTACCATCTACTAGATGGACTGAAGTTACTTTCCAAGGTGCCCCCAACACTTTCGAAACCAGTAAACTCGACTAACAAACAGATAAGGCAGCAGATGCATGGGAATGCAGGTTCCCTTTCCAAGATATACACTATTCTGACTTGGAAATATAACAGGCATTACTTCTCTGTTGCTGGGTCAAAATCCTGCAACTCCTTTCCTAACTACAGTGCAGGTGACCCTAGTGGTAGCTAAGCTCCATTGGCTGGATGGCTGGTTTCTTTTATTCATTCACGGGATGAGGGCATCGCTGACCAGACAGCATTTATTGCCCATCCCTAATTGCCCAGAGGGTAGTTCAGAGTCAACCACCTTGCTGTAGGTCTAGAGTCACATGTAGGCCAGACCTGGTAAGGATGGCAGTTTCCTTCCCTAAAGGACATTAGTGAACCAGATGGGTTTTTCCAACAATCAACAATGGATTCACAGTTATCATTAGATTCTTAATTCCAGATATTTTATTAAATTCAAATTCCACTATCTGCCGTGTGGGGATTCGAACCACAATCCCCAGAACATTACCTGGGTCTTTGGATTAACAGTTCAACGATAATACCACTGGGCCTTTGCCTCCCCCTAATTTGCAATGCAGAGTGACACTAACAGCGCTGGTTCAACTCCCACACCGGCTGAAGTTACCACAAAGATCCTTCTCTCCCAATCTCGCCCCCCTCAACCTGGAGCATCGTGACCCTCAGATTGAACCAACACTAGGCGTCTCCCTAATGAGAGGATGGGACTATGGTGACTTACTTTTACACCTTGAGGATTACAGTAATTCACAAACGTAGCTTATCGCCATCTACTCCAGGGTAATTAGGGATGGACAATAAATGCCGAGAGCGAATAATTAAAAAAAGTCAATCAGATTAAGGGGTAATCTCATCGAGGTCTTCAGCATATTAATGAGGAAGGACAGGGTAGATAAACTATTTCCACCAATTGAAGATTGTAGAACCAGGGGACATAGTCTAAGAATTAGGGCCAAGCCATTCAGGAGAAATATGAGAAAGCACTTCTACACACAAGAGTAGCGGATGTTTGGCACTCTCTTCCGCAAACAGCAGTCAATATTAATTCAACTGTTAGATTTAAATCTGAATTAACAAATTTTTATTGAGCAAGGGTAACAAGGGACATGGGCCAAAGGCAGGCATATGGAGTTAGTCCACAGGCCATTCCTGATCTTGAACAGTGGAGCAGGTTTGAGGGGCTGAATGGCCTACTCCTCTTCCCATGCTCCTAGATGGAGAGGTTCAAAGAGCACAAAACAGACCCTTCGGTCCAACTTGTCTGTGCTGGCCAGGTTTCCTAAACTGAACTCGTCCCACTTGCCTACATTTGGGCCACATCCCTCTAAACCTTTCTCATCTACACACCTGTCCGAATGCGTGAAGAGTTTTTGGTGGTCCAGAGGGGTCCCCTCACAGTGGGCACTAGCTGAGGAATTAATTCCCACCCACTCTCTCCAAGAACATTGCCTAGAATGTGTAGATTGATCAACTCCCTGTAATTAACAGAATTACACCTTCCCCCAGAAACTGACTGAAATGGACAGGGACTCTCCCATTGAAAGTGGAAGCTACAGACATTATACCAGTGCAAGGAAAGTAACTTACCAAAATACTCCGCCTTGGGATTCGCATCCATTTCCTGCTCCAGGCGCTGGGTGAGAGCTTCGACTTTGAGTTCAGCCCTGGATGGTCCAGTGGCCGGCTGTACATGGAGGGTCTGACAGGGCAGGCGGACCCTGGGGCTAGATTCCTGGCGGGGCTCGGGCAGTCCAGGCGCCAGCTTATAGTCCGCATCCTGCGGGAACAGAGGGAGCTGGTTCTGGCCCGGAGTGGCCTGGTTTCTACCCCCTCGGCCGCCGTCAGCTCCCCTTGGGTCAGTATCCCCTTCGGGCAGAGTGGCCGGCCGCGAGTCCGGGCATCGCGGGGGCTCTTCCTGCCCTTGGGGTCGGTAGGCATCAGGCTCCGGGACCGTGGGGCTGGAGGGAAGGGGCCCGTACTGCAAGAGGCTGGACCTGGGGCTGGGGGTATGTTTGAGGCTACCCAGGTGGGTCTGCTCTGGGATCCCCTTGGTGGGGCTATAAGGGGCTGGATCACTAGAGATCACACTGGATCTGGGGCTGGATCTGAGGCTACCCAGGTGGGTCTGGTCTGGGATCCCCTTGGTGGGGCTATAACGGGCTGGATCACTAGAGATCACACTGGATCTGGGGCTGGATTTGAGGCTACCCACGTGGGTCTGGTCTGGGATCCCCTTCGTGGGGCTATAACGGGCTGGATCACTAGAGATCAGACTGGATCTGGGGGTAGATTTGAGGCTACCCATGTGGGCCTGGTCTGGGATCCCCTTGGTGGGGCAATAAGGGGCTGGATCACTAGAGATCACACTGGATCTGGGGCTGGATTTGAGGCTACCCACGTGGGTCTGGTCTGGGATCCCCTTGGTGGGACTATAAGGGGCTGGAT